TATTTGTTATTTTAAAGAGAGAGAGAACATGATCCAGGGAGAGAGGCTGAGGGACAGAGAGAAAATCTTAGGTAGGCTCTACGCTCAGTGCCTCTACACTCATGGGGCTCGGTCCTATGACCCCCGGATCATGACCTGAGTTGAAATCAACAATCAGACACTCAACCAACTGAGCCACCCCAGGCATCTCTCTCTCGCTCCTTTTTAGACAACCCATGGGCAACCATAAAATTATACCTACCAAAAACCTAAAGGATCAATCGGCTTGTACGTTACAAACCATCAGGCGAGTTACAACTTTGGGGATGTCAGAGTGGGGATTTTCAAACCTCTCCTCACCAACATTCTGGCTAAAACAAAACTTTATTAGGAACCTCAACAGGGAGGGGAGTAGTCTGTTAGCAAGAAGTTATTTCATAAGTTACAGTCTGGATTGTAAAAAAAAAAAAAAAACAACAACAGATATAATCAATTAGATCCATGAGGCCACTTTAGTCAACACAAAAAACTCTGAGACGAAAAACTGACATCTCCAAGACAGTCTCCATCACACTCGAACATCTAACTTTTTCTATTTTTGATCTGATAAATAAATAGCACCGTAACCTGGAAATTCAGTTCCACACAGCGACGGAGCTGAAAACGTGATGGTTTCAGGTAGCACTTCTTCCCATGTGAGGCCAGTTTTCACTGAAACCAAGAGGGCGGGCAAATGTTTCTCTGAGCTAACCCAGGAGGACAGATTAAAGGGCTGTGGGCCTGGATGGGTTAGTATTTGGTTACCAACGCATTTCAGTATGCGCAGTTCTCCCCACAGGATTTCATGCCAATTCTGGAAGTGAATCATTTCCTAGATGCCTAAACGTCCACACTAGGATTCCACAGAACGCAGTCTGATGACCACAGAGAGGTCTGCAGACCCCAGCACTCAAGTCTTTCAGTGAAAAGGACAGATGGGAAGAGCCAGCGCTGGCAGACTGGGTCTTCATCTGAAACGTCCCACGTGAGCTGGGCACACCGAACCGTACCTGGAGCCACAGAGGTCCGGTCACACCATTCACGGCCTTACAGCACAGCAGGCGTATGTGATGGGTCTGGAGTGACTATCTCACACTGATAAAGCCATCCAGCCAAGCGGGGGGAACCGCTTACAATTACATAAGTCTTGGGGAGCCTGGGAGGCTCAGTTAAGCGTCCGACTCAGGCTCAGGTCATGATCTTGCAGTTTGTGGGTTCAAGCCCCACGTCAGGCTCTGTGCTGACAGCTCAGAGCCTGGAGCCTGGCTCCGATTCTTTGTCTCCCTTTCTCTCTCTCTGCCCCTCCCCTGCTCACGCTCTGTCTCTCTCTCTCAAAAATAAACATTTTAAAAAATTACACAGGTCTGCAGTGCTTAATAAGTGCCATTAAAATATTAAAAAGACAAGTGGGTAACAGAATACAAGAGGAGCATCATTGCTGCTATTGTAACTTTCCCCTCACACCCTTGAGGGTATTACAGGTGTCACGGACACCTCTCCCACAACACATCACTTCCTGGTTTGATAAAGGACTTCCGGGTGGCCCCGGGGCTCCGCAATTCACCTGCATTGGCAGACAAGGCTCACCTTCAGACAACAGGCTCAGGGCCTCGTCGGACACGTGCCCGCCGAGTCGCAGCACCTTCCTGGGAGTGAGGCTCTCACCGGGTGCGCTGGAGCCATCTGGGGACAGGTAGGGCTGCTCCGCGGCAGAGGTTGCCATGGATTCCCACTGAATCTCCTTCCTGGGAGACTGAAACTGCAGGCTGCATCCTGTCCAGCCGTAGAAGGCCAAAGACAAGAGAAATCCCTGGGCTGGGTTCAGTATCGCCTAGGAGGAAGGACAAAAAGACACGAGTTGGCCAGTCTGTGTACTGGGAATTTGAGCATTAACTCCACTCGGATGCTCACTCGGCTGCCTCACTTGGAAGTGACCCGGTTGGCTGCTTCAGGGCAAGACCAAGATTGGCTTTAGGTGCTGTACCTTCAGGAGGAGGCGGGGAGGGGAGAGCTGGAGGGGGTGGGGGGAGGGGATGCATGCGACACAGGGCAATCGAACCGATCCTATTTTCACCCCTGCCAGGCAGCTAGGCTCTCCTACACAGAGATGCTCTCCATCTTGTGCTTCTGAGTCAGAATGTGATTTAACAAAGGTACCTGAGGCTAAAAACGAGTCTAGGGGACGTTCCTCTATTTCCGTGTGCTAAGTACCCATGAAGTAAACCAAAGGAACCAAGAGAAACTCCAAACCAAAGCAAAGAGGTGGAGGCAGTGAATGCTCGTCTTATTATAAAGTTCTCATGGGCCAGATTCTCCCCAGTTCGGAAGCAGCAGAAATATCAATTCCGTACAAGACAACGTCTACCTCTCCGCTAACAGTTTTGTTTTTTCATTACAAATGCAACACAGCGAAAACACTGGGAGGAATCTATTCATGGTGTTTCCACCTTATTTCCACTTTGTGTATTTTTTTTAATGTTTTTATTTATGTTTGAGACAGAGACAGAGCATGAACAGGGGAGGAGCAGAGAGAGAGGGAGACACGGAATCCGAAGCAGGCTCCAGGCTCTGAGCTGTCAGCACAGAGTCTGACGCAGGGCCCGAACCCACGGACCGCGAGATCATGACCTGAGCCGAAGTCGGACGCCCGACCGACTGAGCCACCCAGCTGCTTCACCGCTCTGTGTATTTCTATACGATATTTTTTTCACACATGTTATTATGTAGTTGTAACTAGTGTAATTTTTATATCCTGCGTTTTTCACTTAAAACTACAGATTTCAGGGGCACCCAGGTGGCTCAGCCCATTGAGCGTCCAAACTCAGCTCAGGTCATGATCTCGAAGTTTGTGAGTTCAAGTCCTGAGTCGGATTATGCAGACAGCTCAGAGCCTGGAGCCTGCTTCAGATTCTGTATCTCCCTCTTCCTCTGCCCCTCCCCTGCTAGCACTCTATCTCTACCTCTCTCAAAAATAAACATTTAAAGAATTTTTTTAAATATATTTTCAAAATACTAGAGACTTCATAATTGTCACATTTAACATCTACATAACACTCCACCAGGATGAAAAATTGTAATTTACTTAGCCATTTCCTTGTATTTGTTTCATTTGGGTTGCCTATAACACAATATGGATGATGGCATCGCTTCTTGGCCTTTTGGCTAAGATCAAGTGTGGTATCTGTTCGTATCAGTTTAATAATCGTGGATGATGTTACAAGGAACACCTTCATCCCTATGGCTTTTTCATGGTCTGAAATATTTCTTCAAGTGAAATTCTCTGATATTTTGGGTCTGCTTGAAAGGTCTGAAAAACTGGGCCAAACTGATTTACCAGAGATGTCCCCATTTAATAACGGTCCCAACAATGAATGAGACTAGCTAGCTGGTACATCAAAGCCAGATACAGGTACATACCGTTACATGTTTAACCAACAACACATCATACTTTGGAGTGGTTTTTTTTTTCTCTCTGAACTTTACTTTTCAAGAAAAAAAATTTTTAATCAAGGTTGACCTACCATTATAAACCACGTGGTCTTGGCCGCATTTCTCACAGGTCTCAAAAAGCTCCCGTTGATATCTGGTTGCATTTCAAGATAGAATAAAAGGCTTTCGTTGATGATGTTTGGCAACCAGCTGTCAGAAAGAAAAAGAACCCAGGGTAAAGAGAACATGTAACCCAACTCATCTTTAAATGCCGGCGGTCAGGAAACCTGTCCTCCGAGACCACCAAGTCCTGGAGGGGAATCCACTTGGGCACATGGAGGAACCAGCACATCCAGGATTTAATTTAAGAGACCTAACTCTTTCTGTAAAGCAGAGATCAGCGACTTCTTCCAAGGGTAACATGCAACACCACCTCGGGTGTAAGGCTCTAACGTTATAGCTAATAACTCAAAATTCAATTTTCACTTGAAGAGTAATGTAATAACGTTTTGAGGGAGAGCTGCACAAATCTTGCTATTTCACGTGTGAACTGTTTGATGTTATTGTTGGTAGGCCAACGACATTTAAAATGAGGAGCTGTTGGGGCGCCTGGGTGGCTCAGTCAGTTGAGCACCGGCTTCAGCTCAGGTCACGATCTCACGGTCTGTGAGTTCGAGCCCCGCGTCGGGCTCTGTGCTGACAGCTCAGAGCCTGGAGCCTGTTTCAGGTTCTGTGTCTCCCTCTCTCTGACCCTCCCCCGTTCATGCTCTGTCTCTCTCTGTCTCAAAAATAAATAAATGTTAAAAAAAATTAAAAATAAAATAAAATGAGGAGCTGAGTGTATTTTGAGAGGGAGATCATTTCCATCTCGCCTAGGACAACGTCCAAACAAATCTCCTCCTATCACATCAATTATTAACACCACGAAGGCACGCCCTGTTTTGCAAAGTATTGATTCACCCCAGCAAAAGGTTTTCTGGTTCCCATCTGTTTTGCATGGGTTACAGATCTATTTTCAAAGCATGCACCTGAAACTGGGCAGAATGCCAACTGTGGGGCCAACTGAGGTTTAGAGAAAAATGGCTCTCTCTGTATGTCTTGATGGAACCATGAATCATCCCACCAAAAGATGTGCCCTTGTCCTATATCTTCGCAGATCCAGGAATCCTGGGGTCAAGAATGATACAAACAGGTACATTTTAAAAGTGTGGTCCAGCGTTTTATTTCAGAGTTAGCCCTGGCAGTGGGCCAAAACACCAGATGCACGTTCACGGTATCTGGAAACTAAACTCAGGAGTTGTTTGTTCTGAGGGCTTTATATATAATCTGAGGAGAGATGAGTATCTTTCCAGGAGTTCACAGATTGTGGGCCTGCCTTCCTGTCTCGCGTGTATTTCCTCAAAGGGCACCTAGTGCAGTTTCAAAGATCTCCTTTCCAAAGACTCTCTGCTTTGCAACTTTCGGGCCACACTTAGAAAAGCAAAATGACAAGTTGTTTACGTATCCCTTCCCAGCGGCAATTAAAAAATAAAAAATAGAAGAAAGGTTACCAAATAATTAAAACCAGCATTATTTTGAAAAATCGGATCTTGATCACGGCTCCCATCCGTCTCTCGTTCTCTGTGTAAATGCCTTTTCTTCCTTTTAGTAAAGAGGCCACTGTGAAAAACAGAGGGGAACTGCATGTCACAGTCATTATTTGCATCTCCTGAGTGACAGGGAAGAGAGTCAACATGGACGTAAGCCCGAAAGCAAAGGCAGAAGAGAAGACAGCCCAAGATACGGCCGTTCCTTCCCCCACACTCCAAGCTGGGGTCCTCGCAGACTCGAAGGGACACGGGGTCTTTAAAACGTTCACCTCCCAAGAACTGTAGACTTCCAGAAGAGTTGCAAAGACAGTACAGAGACTTTCTTCATACCTATACCCAGACTCGTTCAACATTAACATCTTACACACCGAGGGTCACATTCGTCACCGGGGAGAAATTAACAATGGTCTGTTACTATTAATTAAGCTCCAAATTTTATTTGGATTTTACTGATTCGAAAACTGTATTTTTAGGGGTACCTGGGTGGCTCAGGTCACGATCTCACCAGTTTGTGAGTTTGAGCACCATGTCAGGGTCTCTGCTGTCAGCATGGAGGCTGCCTCAAATTCTGTCTCTCTCTTGCCTCTCTCTCTGAAAAATAAACATAAAAAAAAATCTATATATTTAGGGGCATCTGGGTGTCTCAGTCGGTTAAGCGTCCAACTTTGGCTCAGTTCATGATCTCACAGATCATGAGTTCGAGTCCCCTATGTGGCTCTGTCAGCTTCAAATCCTCTTTCTCCCTCTCTCTCTGCCCTTCCCCTGCCTTCTCTCTCTCAAACATTAAAAAACAAAACTATATTTTTAAAGGTTTATATTTTCTATTACAAAAATAATGCACACTGTTTTGAAACATTGAGAGATTAAAAATTTCTCATTATAGACAAGTTGGAAAATACTTTACTTTTTAATGTTTATTTATTTTTGAGAGAGTCAGAGTGAGAGCAGGGGAGGAGTAGAAAGAGGGAGACACAGGATCCGAAGCAGACTCCCAGCTGTCAGGCAGAGCCCGACGTGGGGCTCAAACTCACAAACCGCAAGATCATGACCTGAGCCGAAGTCAGATGCGGAACCAACTGAGCCACCCAGGCGGTGCCTCGACAAGTTGGAAAACATTAAAAAAGGTTAGAGGAAAATCAACGAGCTATTGTCTATCCTGAGACAAGCACTGTTAGCATCTTACTGTCGTTCTTATCAGTCCTTTACCTAGACATGATTTTTGTTTGATATAATTGACTCAGTACTTTTATGCAAATCTGTATAAAAAGTTGCTGTACTTAACATGCTGTTTTTATTTTAATTTTATTTTTTTATTTTAGAGAGAGGGAGAGAGTGCACAAGCAGGGGAGGGGGCAGAAGAAGAGAGAGAATCTTAAGCAGGCTCCACACTCAGCAGAGAGCACTCAATCCCATGACACTGGCATCATGACTGGAACCAAAATCAAGAGTTAGATACTCAACCAACTGAACCACCCAGACGCCCCAATACACTGTTTTTAAACGCAACGTGGAGGAAAAAAACTGATCCAAAGAGCCGCATGATTTCCTACTCTTAGGTGGCAGAGCACTTGAAATGTTTTGAAGTTCTACAATCAACCGACCTTTCCATTAAGGGGCGCTTCTTTTTATTTATTTTTTCCTTTAATATTTTTAAATGTTTATTTTTGAGAGAAAAAGAGACAGAGCATGAGCAGGGCAGAGGCAGAGAGGGAGGGAGACACAGAATCGGAAGCAGGCTCCAGGCTCTGAGCTGTCAGCACAGAGCCCGACACGGGGCTCAAACCCACGAACCGTGAGATCATGAGCTGAGCCGAAGTCGGACGCTTCACCGACTGAGCCACCCAGGTGCCCCAAGGTGCACTTGTTCATTCTCATTCTGCACAGGAGAGATCCATGCAGCTTGAGCAGGATGGAGGTTTGCCCCAGGTCACGCCTCCGTGAGGATGGGGTGGAACCAGAATGCCAAGTCCCCAGCCTCAGCTCAGAGTTCTTTCCAGGGCATCCTGCTGGCTCATAACATCCTTCTTACTCAGTTCTTACTATTTGCACCCGACTCCTTTCCTGCACTCTACTTCCTGTTTCCTGCCCAACTGAGTAAAGACACAAGGTCAAGCACCTCACGGGAGTAACCAGGCTCACTCTTCAGGCCATACCCCCTCCCTCCCCCCCCCCCCCCCCCCGGCTCCCCACTCCTCTCCTTACGCTCCTATCTGACCTCCACGGTTTTCCACGGGCACTCCTGGGGCCTCCAAGGCACCCCAAGGGCAGACCCAGGATGAGCCTAGACGGAAGTGAAAAGTCCACTGGCCCTGGCCTTGAGCTATTAAACACTGGCAAAGAACTTGTGTAGCCCATGACCAGATAGGCTTGCTCGCTTTCCCTTATTAAACCTGCTCACTTTCTCCAAGTGTATTGTACTTACGTCTCTAGAGGATGACAAATGACGTCTAGCATCCTAGATGATTCGAGGAGCACAACGCATGCCATTATCTGAGCCCAAGGCATGGGGCCATAGCCCTGGTCACGCACCCAGACAGCTTCCCTGCTGCTCACCTGCGGTCACGGTCTTCCAGAATAGGATGGGGTTGGCCCCCAGGACGAGCAGCAGCGGCAAGTATGTGGTGACATAGTGCGGGATGGCGAGCTCCGGATCCCGTTCACACCTGAGGGAGGAGGACGAAGCCATTCTTGAGAACAAGGCTTTCCCTAAAATATACACCCTTACCTGGAAGGTGAGATCAGAGGGTGAGAGAGAAAAGGCAAATGCGTAAATCTACTTCTGACTCTGCCAGAAAGAAATGTGACTCACACCTTACGTCTGCAAAGGAGCAATCAATCAATCAATCACTGAAGAACAGGAGAGACCAATCATGTTTCTATTTGTCCTGTAAATGTGAGGCCCTCTAGGGCATTCCACGGGGGAGAGATTTTAAAGGTCACTGCTAACAAAAGGAAAGATAGGAAAGGACACTCGAAAAGGGAAAAGGGGAGGCCCCCCACTGGGTCTCTTCAAGGAGAAAAAGACACAAATGGGAATGCAAACTGGTGCAGCCACTGTGGAAAACACTATGGAGGTTCCTCAAAAAATTAAAAACCGAGCTACCCTACGACTCAGAAATTGCACTACTAGGAATTTATCCAAAGGATACATAAGTGCTGATTCGAAGGGGCACGTGCACCCCAATGTTTATAGTGCTGCTATCCACAATACCCAAATGATGTAAAGAGCCCAAATGTCCATCAACTGTCGAATGGGTAAAGAAGACGTGATATACATACAATGGAATACTACCCGGCAATGAAAAAGAATGAAATCTCGCCTTCTGCAACAAAGAGCGTGGCACTAGAGTGTATTATGCTAAGCAAAATAAGTCAGAAAAAGATATCACAGGTTTTCACTCGTATGTGGAATCTGAGAAACTCAACAGATGAACATTGAGAACAGAAGGAAAAATAAGATAACAGAGAGGGAGGCGAACCATAAGACTCTTAAATGCCGAGAATAATTGAAGGTTGATGGAGGGGTGGAGAGAAGGGAACATGGGTGATGGGCATTAAGGAGGGCACTTGTTGGGATGGGCACTGGGCGTGATATGTAAGTGATAAGTCAATAAAAAAAAAAAAAAGGCCAGTCCTGTGAGTAAGATCCAGTCTCTCCCCTTTAGCGCCTCAAAATACCCAGCCCTCCTATTCCAAGGGAAATGCGTTGCCGTGGTTGTGTAGAACAATCGGAGCAGAGGTGCTTTTCAGGGGAAGGACCAGAACTTGTACTGAAGGATCATGGGAATCGTCAGTCAGCAGGTGGGGCAGCAGAGTGCCACACAGGCGCGGCTTCCCCACGTGGGAGCTAGGAGCGAAGAAACACATAACGTCAGAGAGCAACGAGGAAGAGAGAATCAAAGGCAAAGGGGAGAGAGGACTGCTCAGGCCCAACCCAGGGAGGAGGTGGAAAAGCAGATGAGGGAGCAGCCTCTGTGGCCACAGAAGGCAGAACGATAAAAATGCACACACGCACTCTTGTTCTAACGTGCCTGGAGTGGTCCAGGCCAGAAGGGGAAAATGACTGAATGCAAAACAACTTGGGTGGGAAAAACGCACGGCCACCTTTTCTCGCCAGGAGAAGGAACACAACACCATCCCACAAGGCTACCTTCCTTTTCATGGAAGTTTTCATTTTCAGCTGTGCAGGTTCAAGTGTGGTCTGGAAAGGCTTGAGGGGACAAAGAGAATCAAGCAGCAGAAAAGCCATGATTTGGGGCGCCTGGGTGGCTCACTCGGCTGAGCATCTGACTTCAGCTCAGGTTATGATCTCACTGTGGTGGGTTCCAGCCCCGCGTCAGGCTCTGTGCTGGCAGCTCGGAGCCTGGAGCCTGCTTTGGATTCTGTGTCTCCCTCTCTCTGCCCTGTCATGCTCTGTCTCTCAAAAAATAAAATAAACTGCTAAAGAAAAAAAAAAAAAAAAAAGGAAAAAAAGAAAAGCCATGACTCTGACCAAAAGACAAAAGTAAGCGATGATTGAGTGAGTGGGGATAGCAGTTTGCACAGGCCCGGGAGCAGCCTCCTAAGGACCAAGGGGGCACCTGGGAGTGAGCCCCGCAGCGATGGCTCCCTCATGCTCAGGTACAACCTTCCCAGGAGGCTCCAGGAGCCCACGGGTGAAGCGGAGTGATGAAAGCTCCCTTTCCACGATTAACCATTAAGCGCACCCCACTGTAACAGCCACGGACACCGTACTTGTCCTCGTAAAGTTCCTCAGAGCAGCTGTATGGATGCATCCACACAGACTTTGGGAGTATCCGCCATCGAGAAGGCAACACCAATTTGGAGACATCCGAGTAGCTACAAGAAGTCAAAAAAGGGGGAGAAATTGTCCAACCACGAGTCAGCAAACGTCTTCTGTAAGGGAACTTTTACCGTGTTTCATGCTCCATGGGCCACCCATTCTCTGTGAAAACTACTCTGACACTGCAGTGTGAAAGCAGCCATAAACCATGCATAAACAAAGGGCGTGACTGTGTTCCAATAAAACTTTACTGATAAAAACAAGCAGAGGACCAGATTTGTCCTCAGGCTGGGCTGTGATCCTTGTCTACACTGCCCTAAGATCCCAGACAGAGACCATGTCCCCACCTGTTGCAGCTTTCCGTTGGAAGCTAGAGCACACCTCCTTGGAGGGACCGTGAGCCCTTACAGAGGACTGACTGCACTGAGGAGACTTTTGAGGACGTTGAAGAAATACCTAAGACAATTTCAGATTATCTGTTTCCCTGGATCTGTGTTCAGGATAGCGGGAATACAGCCGGAAGAGAAGCGGCAAAGTGAAGCAAGCGGACGCTTAGATCCAGCTCTTCTAAGAGCAATCTTTGGGTTTCTCCAAGCCATTTCGAATTCATCCTTAGGATGTTAAACTCCCCTGCTCATCCAGATGAAGCTGGCCTGAAGCGTAACAACTAAAGGGTGTGCATGAGGAAGCCCCATCGATATGGAGAGAGGAACACGCCTAACGCTGGGTGCACACCCTGACATGAGGACGCACCTCAAGCTGGGTGCACATACTTGCATCCACAGGCACCTACAGAAATGTGAGGGGCTGAGGCGGGGAAACAAACTCCAGGGTACAAGTACCGTAGCGAGCTCCCCAGGACGGGTCTGGGCAGGTCCGTGAACAATGGCCTGACCTGCAAGGTGCCCACTCCGCGTCAGGGCCTGTGTATTTGTCGCCAGAGAACAATGAGTCAGGGGGCAGGGAGTGCCTGCTTACCTGGACACGGACGGGTAGTAGAGCATGACCACTCCCTCCACGCACAGCAGGACAGCCAGGCCCCAGGCCATGATGTGGTAAAGCAGGATGGTGCTAGGACAGAAGCAGAATCAGGGGGCCTGGCCTGAGACGAGCTCGGAGATGCCCAGCCACACAAAGTACCAGACCAACTCCCGGGTCCCCCCCCCCCTCCCCGACCATCGGGAAAAGTTACACTGAGCAAACCCTCGGTAAAGACCTGCCCCATTCTACCTCAGAGTTTTCCTTTTGTAATTGAGATGAAATTCACGGAACATAAAAGTAACCATGTTCAAGCGGAGGCGCTCTGTCGCCTTGGGCAACCTCACATTGTGCAACGGCCTCCTCTGGCCTCCTCTCCCCGGTTCTGAAACAGCTACGGCCCCAGAAGGACGTGCCCGCAGGCAGTCCCCGTTCCTCCCGCCCCCAGCCCCAGCAACTGTCCCTGTTCCTGCCCCCAGTCCCAGCAACCACCCGCCTCCTGTGTGTGTCTTTGGCTTCTCCCACTCTGCACAATCCGTGTAAATGGTGGCACACAACACGTGGCCCTCTGTGTCTGGCTTCTTTCACGTAACAGGAGTCTTTCCAGCTTGACAAGAACAAGGCACTTGAACCTCATCAGTCCTCCTAAGTACCCAGCTCACCCAATAAGCAAGGAGCTCCTATCCCCACACATTCCCAAAGGTGCATCTGTACCTAGAATTCACGGGTCTCAGTGCAAACCAAGGTCTCTGAAGAAATGTGGGTTCGTTCCATGTTCCGGGAGAGCGGGGAGCTCTCCTTTCTCGCCTCCCACCCCCACACCCCACCATTCCCTGCATGCTTAACATTCCTGGACCATCTCTACCCTCTGTCTTTGTCCTCCCACACGCCCCTCCCTTTCCCCCAGGGACTCAGTCAGCCCTGCAGATGGGGTCTGGGAGAGGGGTGCACAGCCATCTGTTAAAGAGCATTTAACCGGCCTCTTCTGTGCCACGGGACGGGGGCCCACGGCTCCGTCGAATGCGCTCACCGTCACCCATGACTGTACCAGGCTCCCGGCAAATAGTGCCACCCCCAACCCACTGGGATTTTAACTCTGAAAACCAGCTGTGTAGGCAAGGGAACGGTCAGGGATCTGAGTGCAAGGGTGCCCTTCCACAAGCAGACAAGGGATGGCACACAGCAATGAGCTGCAGGAAGAAGCAACTTTTCCCAGCCAGTTCTCTGGAAGGCCACAAGGTTCGCGTTAGAACCGGTTCTGGAGCAGCCCTGCCCCTACCTCTCTGGGTTTGGGAGCTGATGGGGTGTGTCCCATCCAGAAGTCAGAGGCTCTGCATCAAAGAAAGAAATGAAAGGAGCAGCTTTCTGCCAAGGCCTGGGTTGTTGAATAGAGCAGGAGCTCCGCATTCCAGAACCTAACCTTGGGCCGAGGGAGCCAGGGGTGTTGTCCAGGGGTGTTGTCCGCAGAGGTGGGAGGGAGCAGGCCAGGCGAGTGCAGGCCTGGTGGGGGGGGGGGGTGGTGGCGGGGGGGAGGGGGGCACAGACTACTCAGCAGTGCTCTGGCCCCAGATGGCCAAGCAGGGAGAGAGCCAGACTGGGCCCGGCTGCTCAGGCAGCAGCCACTTTAATAACCGATGTGAGCCCGAACCCACACCAGGTCATGAGTCTCAAGTCCAATGCATCCACAATCAAGAGCAGCCGGTGGCTGAACATGCTCATCTCTTTAGGTGAGCACTAGACCGTTTTTATGTCCAGGCACACGAGGGCCCTCCCCGGACCCCCTTTCCCCCACACTCCTATTCACAGAGCAAGTCGGGACATCGATTGAGGGCTTTTCCCACGATCTCAAGCAACTTCTGCTGTTGTTTAAAACCTGTACATCCCACGGCTGGAGCCGCAGGAGTTTACATTTTAACTCTAAATCTGTCTTCATGACATTTCTTAGGATTAGGATTAAAAAAAAAAAAAAAAAGATTCTCCTGTGCCAAAGAAAATAGCTAAGGACTGGAAGGATCTAGAAGGGAATACAGACTTTAATCCAGCCATACCTGCAAAGCCTGGCCCCCTGCCCTGGAATTCCTCGGGACCCTCCTGGGAGGCTGCAGTGTCTTAACCGTGGTATCGACCGCACCCTGGGCTCTGGAAGCAAGTTGGCTCTTAACAGAGGAGCCGCACCCACAGCTCTGGCCCCTTGGAGCCCTCACACCAGGAAGCAGGGCTTCTGCCATGACGAGCGGGGCTTCTGGGTCTCCGTGGCTACAGAGCGCCTGTCTTACTGCTCTGCTGTGATCCCCGCTCCTCTTTGATGGCAGAGCCGCTTCACTCTCAACAGTCTTCCTAGTCCTGGGCCCCTGCGCTTGCTCCTGTCCTTGCATCCGAATGTTTCACATCTTTGGCTGTTTGCCTCCCGCACGACCGGCCGGTCCTCGGACGCTAGGCCCTGCCAGCATCCCCTGAAGTGTGGAACCCCCCACCCCTGCAGCCTGCCTGTTCTCACGCTGTGCTCCAAAATGAGTTGCAAACACTGCTGGCTATGAGGAGGGCTTCCTGACGGCCTGTCCTGGTTTCTCAGGGCTCTGCCTGTCTTCTCGCTCCAGAGAGCTCTCGGGCTGCCCGGGCGGACCGCAGTCATCCGTGGGTGGGGGTGGGGGTGAAGCAATACCTCCTCCTGCGACAGAACCAGCTTCCTGGAGGTGCTCCAAGGCTCTTCTCACCTCCACAGCTGGCTGGCTGTGACACCTCTTGTTGTGCCCTAACTCCAATCCTTCCAAAACTGAGTGAGAAAGGTGTCACACAGGAACACACACTTAGCTGCACTGGCCTCTGGGTCAAACACTTCTCATTGTTGCTAGTTGCCTACCCAAAGCCATTTCCCCTTTTTCCTTGGTAAAATAACCTTGATGGCATGCCAAATAGCAGCAGGCTTGCTTAACAGACTATGTTTCCAATCCAACCTCCTCTTGCAGCTGTGACCATGAAACTAAATTCTGTCCATTCCAAAAAAGGAATAGTTGTGTAAAATCCCCAGGGAGGCTGCTTAAAGGGAAATGGCTCAGGAGAAAACAGGCCCCTTATGCATTGCCCCTTCCTCTTTCCTGTGGCCTGGAATGCAGATGTGATGGCTGGAGCTCCAGGAGCTATATTGGGCCATGATGCCTTGAAGATGAAAGTCACACAACAGGACGATGCAGCAAAAGATAGAAGAAGCGTGGGTCCCTGAGGTCCATTATAAGGGCCCGGGATTGCCTACCTCTGGCCTCCTTTGGCATGAAAAAAAAATTTACTTTAAAGTTATTTTATGTATTCTATGTAGCCAAAACTAGTCCTCATTGATATACCTGGTTGGCTGCCCTTGATCTTAACTCTCTTCCCTAGAGAATTGTCAAAACCAAGAATGTCTAGGTTCTGTACACATGTATAAAAGCCTAGGACTGAAAGTTAAAAGGTAGAAGGAACAAGCACACAAATAAACACTAAACTTCAGGCCAGAGACACCAAAGTTACTGATGATGATACATAAGGAATATCAACAATTTTAGAGCAAGAATCTACTTAAGTTTCCCAGTGTGTTCTACAGCCTGAATGTGATTTCTGTTTACTAATTTTGGCTTCTAAAGTGAATTTATTCAGGGGCCCCTGGCTGGCTCAGTCAGTGCAGCAAGCAACTGTTGACCTTGGGGTTGTGAGTTTAAGTCCCATGTTGGATGTAGAGATTAAATCTCGAATCTTGAAAATGGATCAGAGACCTGGGCACCTGGGTGGCTCAGTCAGGTAAGTGTCTCTTGATTTCAGCTCAGGTCACGACTGCACAATTTGAGAGTCGGAGCCCCATGTTGGGCTCCTGTGCTGACAGCATGGAGCCTGCTTTGCATTCTCTGCCCCGCCCCCCTCTCAAAATAAATAAACCTTAAAAAAATAGAATAAAATGGATGAGACCTAAATTGAAGTGTTCAAACCATAAAACTCTTTTTTGGTTCCCAAGCTTGATGCACGAACTCCTACAAAATATTCCAGATAAAGGATCCTCCTCCTTCTGGTTAATCTAGAAGTAATGCAATTCGTAACTCTCTTTGCGGTTAACAACTGTGTGCAACCAATCACAGAGATCACTCTTCAGATATTTTGGGGGGACAGGCTTCAAATACCTTTTGGAAAAGGGCACCTCAGAAATTACAGTAATCTTGGGGCACCTGGGCAGCTCGGTCGGTTGAGCACCCAACTTCGGCTCACGTCATGATCTCACGGTTCGTGGGTTCGAGCCCCGCATAGGGCTCTGTGCTGACAGCTCAGAGCCTGCAGCCTGTTTTGGATTCTGTGTCTCCCTCTTTCTCTGCCTCTCCCCTGCTCACACTGTCTCTCTCACTCTCTCTCAAAAATAAACATTTTTTAAAAATTTAAAAAAATGCCATCAAGTAAAAGACAACCCAATGAACAGAAGATATTTGTAAATCCTGTATCTAATAAGGTACTTGTATCTAGAACCTATATGAAGAACTCTTACAACTCAATGACAAAGACCAATTAAATGGGTGAAGGAACTGAACAGATATTTCTCCAAAAAAAAGTATACAAATGGCAACTAAACATGTGACAAGATGCTCAACATCACCAGCCACCAGGGAAGATACCATTCACACACACACTAACATGGCTAAATTTTAAAAACCAAAGTAACACATGGAAAAGAACAAGTATTAGCAAGGATGTGAGAAACTGGAACCATTATACGTTGCTGCCGACAATATAAAATGGTGCAACCAGCCAGGCTGGAAAGCATTTTAGCAGTTTCTTAACAAGGTTAGAGAATTACGATGTGACCCAGGGTATAAAGCCCCTGAGTACACGATGAAATAGCACGTCCACACAAACATCTGCATACCAGCGGTCACTGGAGTATTCCTTATAGCCAAAATGATGCAAACAACCCACACGTCCATCAACCGATAAATGGATAAAATGTAGCACATCCGCTAAGCCGAATACTATTCAGCAAGGAACAGGAATAAAATGCTAACACCACTGCGCCATGGGTAAAGCTTGAAAACGTCTCGCTAAGTTTAAGAAGCCAGACACAAGGGGAACCCTGGGTGGCTCAGTCGGTTGAGCTTCCGACTTCGGCTCACATCATGATCTCACGGGTTGTGGGTTCAAGTCCCATGTCAGGCTTTGCACTGATAACATGGAGTCTGCTTCAGATTCTCTGTCTCCCTCTCAAAAATAAACATATATTAAAAAACAGAAAGAAACCAGACACAAAATGTCACATATGGAATGAATGTGCTTACAAGCAATACCCAGAACAGGCAAACCTAGAGACAGGGGCCTGGTGGGGGCAGGAAGGGGGGTGGGGATTAATCACTGGTAAAGAGATTGGGGGGAGGTGAGGATTAAAATGTCCTAAAACTAGTTGGTACGATGGTTGCATGATTCTGTGAATATACTAAAAAAACAATGGATTTTGGATTTTAGACACTTAAATGGGTGAACTTTATAAAACTGTTTAAAACAAAACGAAACAAAAAAAGAGCATGGGGCACCTGGCTGGCTCAGTCAGAAGAGCATGTGGCTCTTGATCTCAGGGTTGTGAGTTCAAGCCTCACCTTAGGTGCAGAGATTACTTCAATAAAGTTCAAAAAAAAAACAAACAAACAAAAGTAGGGGGGCACATGCTTCCTGGATGAAGCGTCAGAAGACCCGAGCACTCGTCCCATGCTGCCATCCAGCTTCCCCTTGTCACTCAGGTGCTCTGTTCCCCCAACACACATGCTCACCCCAGCTGCCGTCACAGGGCACAGCGCCCGACAGCCTACTATGTGCCAGGCACTTTCCTCAACCATTCACAGAGCATCGCATGGACTCTCCTGTGACCTGATGCGGTTGCTACTATCCTACATCTGGGAAAACAGAAGTCAGACACGTTAAGAAACTTGCCAACGGCGCCACGGTGAGTGATCCCTATACAGATGGGACTCACCGTGGATGCTCACCGGGTAGCCACCGGGAGCTCCAATGTTCGGCTTCCATATTTGGCCTAAAGTGTGAACACACACTTCAAAGAATCTTCCCCAATCTCTAGATACAGTCAAAACCTGTTTATATTCATGCCAATTCTGTTAGTATGTGTCCAGTTGCAAATATTTAATTTATAGATTACCTGCTGTCATGGTTTAAAATCCTCATTTGGAATCTGCCTTCAGCTTTTTATAAAAACAGCTGCCGGAGGGGCGCCTGGGGGGCTCAGTCGGTTAAGCTTGATTTCGGCTCCGATCGTGATCTCACGGCTCAGGAGATCAAGCCCTGTGTGGGGCTCTGCACCGACAGCACAGGGCCTGCTCGGGATGCTCTCTCCCCCTCTCTCTGTGCCCCTCCCCTGCTCGCTCTTGCGCTCTCTAAATAAACTTAAGAAATAGCTGCCAGACACAATCCTCAAGGGGCCGGCTGACATTCTGACTGTGTCCGCCATACCGAAAACTACTTTGCAGCCCTCAAAGGTACCCCCGACCCCTCTTCATACAACAGAAATTGGGCAGAAAGCTCTAGTTTCTTGTGCATACCTCTGTCCTGCTGATCTCCGGATCACCAGATAGGCGTCGACCGCGTAGCAAAACAGCCACCAGAAGCAGGCACCGTACAACAGCTGGATCCACATCTGTAATCAGGAAGAGCCTGGCATCAAAGCTCCTGGAAACAGGCCCCGGATTGTCCCCATCCGTGAATGGAGCGGGCAGATGCCGGTTTCCTCTGACGTCAGGAAGCAGCACATGAAAGCCCTCCGGAGACACGTGGACAGTCTGGGAAACCAAGGCTGGGGCGTGGCCCAGGGCGGCGTGTGCCTCCATGCTCTGTCCGCCCAGCGGCGCCGGACTAGCAAGCCCGCTGGCCGGGTACACTTGTCAGCACGGGACGTAAAGGCCTCAGATGCACAGCCTTCCCCGGCATGAGGGCTGACAGTGCCTCTGAACGAGAACGAAGGAGCGTGGGCAGGAAAGGTCTTCTGAGCAGAGGGGAAGGAAGGGGCCGGTCTGCTAGAGGCAGCGGGACATTGACCAGCCTCTGGCGCGGGCGGAGACCGCGCTCCCCTCTGCGGCCGGGAAGCAGCGACGGGCACAGGGAGACAGGCTGACGATTCTGCCACAGCTCGGTGCACAGAGCAACAGAGATACACAGATTGAAATAATATATTCCGGGGCGCCTGGTGGCTCGGCGGGTTAAGCGGCCGACTCTTGATTCCTCACGGTTCCGGAGTTCAAGTCCTGCGTCGGGCTCTGCGCTGACAGTGTGGAGCCTGCTTGGGTTCTCTGTCTGCCTCTCTCTGCTCCTCCCCCGCTCTCTCAATAAATAAACTTAAAAAGTGAAGGCACAAATATGTATTTCATTAAGCACAATATATATCCCATAAATCAACAACTTTCATTGTCCTTTCTTTTCCCTTCTTGGCCAGCTGGTTTTAACTGCAGCTCCACCCTAGGTAAGGACTGTATATGTGGGCTCACATACGGTGGGGGGCAGGGGGGAGCCATACTAGCGCAGTGGTCCTCAAATTTAAGTGTCAGTCAGAAGTCCCTGCAGGGGGTGTAACATCACGGCAGACCCCACACCAAGGTTCTGAGAATTTGCATTTCTTTTTTTTTTTTTTTTTAATGTTTATTTATTTGAGAGAGAGACAAAGCACGAGCAGGAGAGGGCCAGAGAGAGGAAGACATAATCCAAAGCAGGCTCCAGGCTCCGAGCTGTCAGCACAGAGCCCTATGCAGGGCTCGAACCCACGAACCGCGAGATCATGCCCTGAGCCCAAGTTGGATGCTTAAATGACCCAGGCGCCCTTGAGAACTTGCATTTCGAACAAACTCCAGTGGGCTGAGACCACACTTGGAGGAACAGAGTGTCACAGGAGCACAGTGGGAAGAAAGGGTTATCAACACAAGCAGGTGGACTTACTGCGGTCCCCACGCAGTACGCAGCAGGCCAAAGGTCCGTCCCATTCACGTCTGAGATGCCCTTGACGAAATCGGGGAATCCCAACCACACCGCAGACCGGAAGACGATCCCTAAAACCGAGTAAGAGGACACAGTCATCCCGCGGGAGATGCATTCCAGGCCCCGCAATTGATGCCGAAACTGCACATTGTACCGGATCCTAGATGGGCCACGTTTTGTCCTTTACGTACATTCCAACGATACGGCCTGCTTTATAAATTAGGCACAGTTAGAGACTAACAACTAGTAAACATCGATAATACGCTGTAATGGAAGTCATGTGAACGTGGTCTCTAAACACCTTACTGTACTCACTCTTCTTCTCGTGAGGACGTGAGATGTAGCGAGGTGAAGCATGCAGGCACCGTGATGTGGTGTTGGGCTATACGGACCTTCCGACAGGGCAGATGACCAACCGCTTCCGGACCAGAATGGACCGTGGGGAACCAGAACCGCGGAAAGAAACTGTGGCTAAGGGTGAGCTACTGTCCTTTGTAATGGTCCTAATTCGTATCTAAAGCCAACTTGCTGCTCTGTTAAAAGTAGATGGTGGATGGGGGCGCCTGGGTGGCGCAGTCGGTTAAGCGTCCGACTTCAGCCAGGTCACGATCTCGCGGTCCGTGGGTTCGAGCCCCGCGTCGGGCTCTGGGCTGATGGCTCAGAGCCTGGAGCCTGTTTCCGATTCTGTGTCTCCCTCTCTCTCTGCCCCTCCCCCGTTCATGCTCTGTCTCTCTCTGTCCCAAAAATAAATAAACGTTGAAAAAAAAATTTTTTTTTAAATAGTAGATGGTGGATGGAAAAAGAGAGAGAGAGCGAGAGAGAGAGAAACAAGGGAGGAAAGAAACGTACACATCGGTGTGTGTACAGAGACAGAGAATAAGATGATCTAGGAATAATTATTTCGGTCACAGAGCAATCCCAGGAATTTTGATTTCAACTTGAACCACCATTAGCCACAATCATATGCCTAATGTAGTTGTTTGCTTACTTGGTATGAAGAAGCAATTATGTGAACAACAACCGGTATTTCTTGGCTATATTTTTCATACCCACGTATTAACCATTCCTGACATTTAAAGAAATGACCGAAACAGCACGATTCTGAAATGTAAAAAAGATAATTCTTTCATTCTTTAAAAAATGTATTTAGGGCCTGGGTGGCTCAGTCAGTCAAGCCTCTGACTTCAGTTCAGGTCATGATCTTGAGGTTTGTGAGTTTGAGCCCCGCGTCGGGCTCTCTGCTGTCAGTGCCCAGCCTGCTTCAGACCCTCTGTCCCCCTCTCTCTCTGCTCCTCCTCCACGAGCACTTCTCTCAAAAATAAACATTTAAAAAATAAAAATAAAAAACAGGGGCGCCTGGGTGATGCAGCTGGTTGAGCATCTGACTCTTGGTATTGGCCCGGGTCGTGATCTCATGGTTTGGGGGGTTGGAGCCCTGCATTGGGCTCTGTGCTGATGCACGGAGCCCGCTTGGGATTCTGTCTCTCCATCAAAAGAAATAAACATTTAAAAAATTATATAAGTAAATAATGCAATTAAGATTCTCACAAATTAGCTCTCCTCAATAATTTGCTCTTGACGTTTATGATTTGTAAGTTTTCCTTGCTATTAAACCCAAATACCTAATTCTCCTCAAAATAGTATACACGCTTTAAGGTATATATTAAGGTTTTTTGTTAAGAAATGTGATATGCTCTAATAACATACTCCGTAGGGGTGCCTGGGTGGCTTAGCTGGTTAAGGGTCCGACTCTTGATTTCGGCTCAGGTCATGATCTCACAGGTCATGGGTTTGATCCCTGCGTCAGGCTCTGCACTCCCAACGCAGACCCTGTTTGGGATTCTTTCCCTCTCCCTCTCTGCCCTCCCCTGCTCCGTGTCTCTCTCTCTCAAAATAAATAAGCTTAAAAAATAATAACATACTATGGAATACAATGCTAAAAAGTAATTGTAAACAGCACGAAGTTTTGTGCTATGTGCTCATGTACACTAATATAGTATGTAACAGACGACTAAGTATACAATACATAACATACTAAATCTATTCTATGTAATACACTGGCAGACTCACGTTGCATACTATACTACCAACTGTATGCTGCATAATGCGTCACCAAATACAATCTGTGTATTTAAATTGTATACAATCTAAATGTAGTGTGATACACTACCAAACGTACATTATATACGATATGAAATTTGTGTTACATAACACACTACTACACGAACACCATGTAATACATCACTAAGGAGGAACTATGCACACTGAGACGTTTAAGATACATCTTCTCGTTATCAAGCACTGCTCACAAAAATAATGCTTTTCTTCCATAGAATGCTTACCATTTACGGCACATAGCATTCCTTCGAGCTCAATAAATGCCCAATGTATTTTTGTAGCGATATGAGCTGATGAATGTCAACTTACTGTGATAAACATTTCACAATATGAGTATGTCAAGTCATTCTGCTATCTTAAACTCTTACAGTGCTCTATGTCAACTGTATCTCAATAAAACCGGAAAAAAAAAAAAAAACTCTGCCCTATGAGATAGGCATCATAAGTATTTTTCAGTGATGTGTCAGTCACCAAGCCTTGCCCTGAATTCTGCTTCTCATTTGTCAATATCACGCAACTCCCTTCCAAAAACAAGCATGTATGCAAATATTATTTCACTGATCCTCAAAAGATATCTGGGTGCATCTTTATTTTTAGATATCCAAGTTATAGAAACTAAATTGCTGTTAAGATGCTTTTCCAGAGGCACCAGGCTGGCTCAGTCAGAAGACTGTGTGACTCTATCTCAGGGTCATGGGTACAAGTCCATATGGGGTATAGAAATTACTTAATTTTTTTAGTATTTATTTAGTTATTGAGAGAGAGGAAGAATATGCAAGTGTGCACTCATGCATGGTTTTGAGGGGCAGAGGGAAGAAGGGAGAGAATCCCAAGCAGGATCCACGTTGTCAGTGCAGACCCCAATGAGGGGCTCGGCTTGAATTCACAAACTGTGAGATCATAACCTGAGCTGAAATCAAGAGTCAGGCATTTAATCGACTGAGCCATGCAGGTGCCCCAGTAAATAAACTTAAAAAAAAAAAAAAAAAAAAAAAGATGCTTTTCCAAAATGTTTCAGCAGAATCAGGAAGAAAACCAATGTCTGATTTATTTAGCCTGCACCAAGATAGTTTTATCCCTAAGAGAAAGGAAGTACTGCTTCCTGTCTGACTCCTGGAGTCTGAGAAAGTGACTAGAGGTTATACAGTATGTACTGGAAGTCAAGTTCCTTGACGGTCTCTGACCACAAGGGCACAGAACTGGAGAACAGCACGCTGAGACAGCCACCTGCGTTGATATCAGCTCAAGGCGGGGTGAAAGCTGCTGCCACCCCCTCAGGGATGTTTCAATACCATCGACAGCCTTCAGCTTCACGAGTAAAATTATGCAAAAGTACATGTCCAAAATGGTCAGCGCCCGTCAGCCAATTGCCAAATGTGGGCAGCATCTAGATCCTGATTCGAACGAACCAACTATAAAATAGCATTTATGAGACAACTGAACATACACCAGGGATGTTAAAGAATTGACTTTCGGGGTGCCTGGGTGGCTCAGTCGGTTAAGCGGCTGACTTCAGCTCAGGTCATGATCTCACGGTCTGTGAGTTCGAGCCCCGCGTCGGGCTCTGTGCTGACAGCTCGGAGCCTGGAGCCTGTTTCAGATTCTGTGTCTCCCTCTCTCTCTGACCCTCCCCCGTTCATGCTCTGTCTCCAAAATAAATAAACGTGGAAAAAAAATTTTTTTCTTTTAAAAGAATTGACTTTCATTATTATTTTCCGGCGACAATACTAGTATAGTATGTATGTTTAATTTTTAATTTACTTAAATTCAAGTTACTTAACACATAGCATAGTATCGGTTTCAGGAGAACCCAGTGATTCACCTCTCACATACGACACCCAGTGCTCATCCCAGCAAGCGCCCTCCTTGATGCCCATCACCCGTCTAGCCCATCCCCCCCACCCACCTCCCCTCCAGCAACCCTCCGTTTTCTGTACTTGAGTCTCTTACAGTTTGCCTCCATTTTTATTTTTCCTTTCCATCCCCTACGTTCATCTGTTGTGTTTCTTTCATTCCACATATGAGTGAGTTCATGTGGTTCTTATCTTTCTCTACCTTAGTTCAATCAGCACAATACACTCTAGGTCCACCCCGCGTCGTTGTGAATTAATCCAGTGGTGGGTGATACCAGGACGGGGTATAGATGAAGTGAGAGCATAGGTCCGAAGGCGGTTCCTTATACAGTCTGTGTGATTTAAGTTGGAAATTTTCCCAAAGTAAAAATGCAAACAAATGGTTTTGGAAAAGAGTTTAGGCTTTACGGGCCACAATTTCTCTGCCATCATCCACCTCTGTCCTTGCAGGGCAAAGACAGCACTAGACAATGCACAAGGGCAGGGCGCGGCTGTGTTCCCACGAAACTACTGAAGGACATGGACATTTAAATTTCATGGGATATTTATCAAAAACATTTCACGAAGTATTTTTCTTTTGATTGTTAAAAACCTTTCGGGCCACAGAAAAGAGGCAACAGGTGGGATTTAGTGTGGGGTCTGCGGTTTGGCCGCCTGTGGTAGAAAACCCAAACCTGAAAAAAATTATGTATTTATACGTATTAGAGGTAGACACATCAAGTTTTCTTCCCGATTCTGCCAAACCGTTCGGGAAACGGTTGTGGATGCACAGAACATTGTCAGTCTCTCACTCGCAGGAGTTATTAGGGAACCGTTGTATTTTCTGGGGTTTTTGTTTAATGGCAACCGCCTGAAGTTTCCCCCAGTAAGCCTGCAATAACGAACACTGTAAACTGTTTCTTCTCTTTAAACAAATGTCCCCTGGGCATAATTTTTACTGCCTGTCTTGTTTCGCTGAGTCCCTCGGTCGTCCTGTCCGGTCCCTAGGGAGCCGCCTCTGTGCTCCGAGTACACACCCTGCCCAACCTCGCGGGCCGCGCACGCTCACCCGGGCACCGAGCAGGTCCGGACCCGCGGGCGGCGCACCTTACTGAAGCAGCCGAGAAGGTCCCAACCCGCGGGCCGCGCGCCTCACCCAGGCACCCAGCAGGCCCCAACCCGCGGGCCGGGCTCCCCCACCCCGGGCGTCGAGCAGGTCCGCGCCCCTTACCCAGGCAGCCGAGCAGGTCGCAGGCGGCGGCGGCGCGCAGGATGCGGACGGAGGCCGGGGCGCGCGCCGAGGCCGGCGGGGACGTGGACGTGGCCCCCGGGCCCGCGGGCCGTCGTCCCGGCAGCAGTTGCAGGAGGCCCAGCGCCAGGCGGCACGCGCCGCCGCCCAGACACAGCGCGTGGAAGGCCCGGGGCTGGAAGCCCAGCACCAGCTGCGTGGCGGCGTCCCGCGTGGGGCAGCAGAAGGTCCCCAGGCGTGGGGAGGCCATGGGCCGTGCTCGGGGACGCGGCTCGGGTGTGCCGGGACCCCGCCGGGCCGCTGGGTCAGGTGCCCGGCCGGCAGCGAGAGGGGGGATCATGTGCCCGGGGCCGCGCCTCCCCTCTCCCGCCCCCGCCCCGGCGCCCGCGCGGGCGGAGAAGGCGCCGACCGGGGTGGGGGCTGCGCGCCCTCGGCGGACGCCACGAGGTCTCACGAGGGGGAGGCTGGGGCCCGAGCCGGAGGTGGGGGAAGGAGGCGCGCCCGGGGCCCGGGAGGGAGGTCGGCTTTCTTCCCTGCAACCCAGCCTTCCCCCAAGCCGCCTCCTCGTCTTAACTGACCTTACCAGACAAACCTGCCTCATTTGCCAGCTCTTTCCTATTTGGGACCTGACGTCCCTAATTTTGATGCGTTACAGGCGCCAGAACACGTTCATCGTCAACGTGACTGATGCGATTGGTGTTAACAGACACAATCCCAGCGGCAGGAGTTTCCTTGCAAGTCAAATCTTTTTTTTTTTTTTTTAATTTTTTTTAATGTTTATTTATTTTTGAGACAGAGGGAGACAGAGTGCGAGTGGGGAGGGGCATAGAGAGAGGGAGACACAGAATCTGAAACAGGCTCCGGGCTCTGAGCTGTCAGCACAGAGCCCGATGCAGGGCTCGAACCCACGAACCGTGAGATCATGACCTGAGCCGAAGCCGGGCGCTTAACCGACTGAGCCACCCAGGCGCCCCGCAAGTCAAATCTTAAAGACGGAAGCGCTTAGCCTAACGAGACATGTTTACACACGCGTATTTTGCACCTTATAGTTCAGTGTTCCGTGTTTACTCAGCTTCAATATAGGTTTGGGCATTCTAAATTAGCTTTCAAAAGTAATTGTTTGTTTTTTTAATTACCCAAGTTCATTTAGATTTCATAACTTTTTTTTCGTTATACATTGAAAATCAAGCTTTATTCCATGTGCTTAAAAGTTCCAGAATCGGGGCGCCTGGGTGGCGCAGTCGGTTAAGCGTCCGACTTCAGCTCAGGTCACGATCTCGCGGTCCGTGAGTTCGAGCCCCGCGTCGGGCTCTGGGCTGATGGCTCAGAGCCTGGAGCCTGTTTCCGATTCTGTGTCTCCCTCTCTCTCTGCCCCTCCCCCGTTCATGCTCTGTCTCTCTCTGTCCCAAAAATAAATAAACGTTGAAAAAAAAAATTAAAAAAAAAAGTTCCAAAATTGTGTCAGCACTAATGATAACCATCAACATACTGGGTAAAGTTTAAAAACAAACTCGAGAAGGCTGACAATAAAAGAGCTCTCCTATAGGTTATGGCTTTTACTAACCAAACCTTTAAAACAAACCAAAAAACCCTTACCAGATTTATCATCTAATAAGTTAATAGGCCCATTGGCAAACCCCAAGTGGCCACCTTTATGTCTCCCCTGGACAAATGGGCCCCTCTCTAAGGTTTTTTTCCGGTCACCCGAAGGGAATACAGCCCATTCGTCCCTCCCCCACTTATTAAACACTTAAATGCAAACACATGCCCTCCCACCCAGCTGCTCATCTGCCTTTCCACCAGGAGCTTTGCTATTTTAATTTTTTTTTCAACGTTTATTTATTTTTGGGACAGAGAGAGACAGAGCATGAACGGGGGAGGGGCAGAGAGAGAGAGAGAGAGAGAGACACAGAATCGGAAACAGGCTCCAGGCTCCGAGCCATCCGCCCAGAGCCCGACGCGGGGCTCGAACTCACGGAGCGCGAGATCGTGACCTGGCTGAAGTCGGACGCTTAACCGACTGCGCCACCCAGGCGCCCCAGGAGCTTTGCTATTTTAAAGACAAAGTTTGGGCTCAGCTCCTAGGCCTTCTTCCCCGAAGGCCCTAGGACTGGACTTCTCTGTTGGAATCCACGGTAGGCAGACAGGCGGCTGCGTTGCCAGATGGGAAACAGAGCCTTTAACAAAGGGCTGCAAACGCCAGCACTTCAAAAGGATCTGACCTGGCAGTCTATTAGCAGGGGCAGCTGCTTTGATAGAATTCTGGAACCACCAACGCTGTCAAAACCTGCACTGCTCTCGGGTATTGCACACTCGCTTGTAAAAACAGCAGAAAACATCAGAGAAATACTCCCCAAACATCCATTTGTCAGCCCTTTAGAAAGCATGAATCCTGCTCTCTTGGGCCATTGATCTCCTCCTTCGTTTCCTCTTGGAAAGCAGAGGCTGCTTCTGGAGGACAGTGTGCCGGAGTGTGCTTTAAGAGATACAAATGACAACAGAGCCTTTGTATGCTTGCTCTGATGCTGAGGGTTTGAGGGTTTGCAATGGCTCGTCCATGCAAAAGTACCAGTGCATTTCCGTTTTTGCCTTGGGCCGGAACTGCACATACCCCACGTCTCTGCTTCCCACGTGCAAACCTGCAGGCTCTGATGATTCGGGCACCAAGTAGTCATGGGGGAGGCTCCCAGGAGGGTCAGTGGTAAAGTCACCTCGGGGAGAAAATTGTTATAAATGAAGATTCCTAGGCCAGATGGGGGCCTCAGAGCAAACTTGCAGAAGGACGGACCGGAGACTGTTTTTTTGACGGTCCGAAATAACTTGAAATTAGTATAAGAGATGCAACTGACGTAACTGTGTGCAAGATGTGGGAATGATGGGGCTTTTAGGGGAGATAGTGGGGTTCGTGGGGTCCAGAGCCGACGGCCAGGAAAGAATTCTTGAAAACGTCTTTGGTGCAAAATGGTGATCTTGTTAAAGCACGGGGACAGGACCCGTGGGCAGGAAGAGCTGCCCCGGGGCCTTGAGAGACTAGTTATATACTATGGGGCTGCCGGAGGTGAAGTCCAGGGGAAGCTTCCAGTGAGATTTTTATATGCTAAAGGAGACTCACAGGATTTTGGAGGCCTAGCTATTGTCAAGCTAGGGTTGTTTTTCCCTCTAGCAAAGCATTAGCATTAAGACAGTAAGGAGTTCCCGGAGAAACGTTTTACTCTGCTGGCCTCAAGTATTTGTCAATGGGCTACAGGTTCTAAGGAAATTTAGTTCTATCTGCCATTTCCGTCTGCCTTTGTTCGTTACTACGGAGAGTGATCTCTATCAGTTCACCATTTGTTTTTCCCCTTTCCTTTGTTCTTGGGCAGCCGGGAGTGCACACATATCCCCCCTGGTGGTGGTGGTGGGGGGGGGGGGGGGCTGTCAGCTTGCCTTATGCGTCCAGAAACATCTGGAAGTACTGCAGATGTGCGACCTGCAAAGATGATCCCGCCAAGCCACAGTCAGCTGAGCCTGAACACCGATGTATCTGTGCGGTAACAATAGGGCCTTTACGTATGTGAAGTTCATTTTTGCATCCACGCTCCCTCCTTTTCTCCCTCCCTCCCAGCTTACCATCTGGATTCCACCTTGCACTTTCCGCCTGGGCTGCCCACGGAAGGTTGTCTCGGCTTTACCTTTGCTCTGCCATTCACGACCTGCCCGCCATCCCGCTTGATCCGCTACGCTAACCTCTGGAAGCGGCTCGGGGGGTTTCTCTCACAGACAGCTCTTCTCACGGTGAGTCCCCTGACACCCACAGGTCTTAATGGAAAGGACGGAGTTCACGGGGAGAACCTCAGGTAGGCCACAGAATCCAGTGGAGGAGATAGTGGGGGGCGGATGGATGGTCTGCCGAAATACACTGGTAGCAGCAGCAGAAGTGAGGACAGAGCGACTCACAAAAACCTACTGTTTTCAGAGTGCATCAGTAGGCAGGCACAATGCTCTGTGTTTTACATTCATTGTCTCACTGAATCTACAGCAGGAGCCTTTCGGGTGGGTTTTACTCTTCAACTGATGAGGACAGTATGTACCTTAGTGGGCATGGCTAAGTTCCAGTAAAACTTCATTTACGAAACTGGTGGCAACCTAGCCATTTTGGCTCCTATAGGTCTACCCACAGAGACTCTGGCTTAACCAGCAGTACCCCAGAAGGCCGGGGGGCTAAGCCCAAAATAAGAGGGAGGCTAACAGCTAGTGGGGCAGGCAAACAGGCCAGTGAGGAATGGGACACGAGAAGCTGCTGGCAGAGAAATTGCTCCTGCTTCCTCCCGCCCTAGAAGTTTCTGAGGAGAGGTCGTATGGCGTCCTGAGCAACCAGCTGTGTTTCTTAGGAATCTGTAGCCTATTCATAATTGTGCCACCTGGAATTTGCCCTTCCTCCTTCCCTACTTTTACTTCCCTTGTGCCCAGGGATTCCATGGTGTTTGCCCACAAAACTTCGGCACACCATTTGCCTCAGGCTCTGCTCTCTAAGGAACCCAGGCTAAGAATCTGCCTTCCTCATAAAGGATTTCAGGTGCTGTAGCCCCTGCCCTGCTTGGGGCCCATCTGATGACCAGCAGCACCTCTGCCTTTCAATTCCTTTCATTTCAACAGAAATGTATTGAGTGCCATGTGCAAACTGAGCAGATAAAGAGACAGGCTGTGTCCAATAAATATGGGTGTGTTTACTAGGCCTTAATAAAGAATACGTAACGGTCAAAGGCACTGTCAGAGCCAAATAAACCAATTAGTCATAGACACACGGGACAAGAGGGTGGGAAGAGATAGGGACTGAGGAGAGTTTAAAATTAAATTGTACTTGTGGTGCCTGGGTGGTTCAGTCGGTTGGGTGTCTGACTTCGTCTCAGGTCATGATCCCCAGGTTTGTGAGTTCGAGCCCCGCCTCAGGTTCTGGGCTGACAGCTCAGAGCCTGGACCCTGCTTTGGATTCTTTGTTTCCCTCTCTCTCTGTGACCTCCCCTGGTCACGTTCTGTCTCTCTCTCTCTAAAAAATAAACATTAAAAACAGTTTTTAAATTAAATTGTACTTAAGTAGAAAGACATTTAAATATCAGACCTGGGGCGCCTGGGTGGCGCAGTCGGTTAAGCGTCCGACTTCAGCCAGGTCACGATCTCGCGGTCCGGGAGTTCGAGCCCCGCGTCGGGCTCTGGGCTGATGGCTCAGAGCCTGGAGCCTGCTTCCGATTCTGTGTCTCCCTCTCTCTCTGCCCCTCCCCTGTTCATGCTCTGTCTCTCTCTGTCCCCAAAATAAATAAACGTTGAAAAAAAAAAATAAATAAATAAATATCAGACCTGAGAATAAAATTAATCAAGTTTCATGTGCATTGCGTTGCAGATGCTACTGAAAAGCAGATTCTAATTCTGCCTATCGGGATGTCTGGGTGAGGCCATGCATTTCTAGCAAGCTTCCAGAGATGTGGATGCTGCTGGTCAATGGCTCCTACTTGGAGCAGCAAGGTCCTGGAGCTTGTATCTCAACCTGAAAAGGAAAGGAACAACCAGGCCATACTTCAGTGTGGGGAGGGCTTCGTTCAAAAGAGCAGAGAAACTGATCAACGTCCAGCTAAGCCAAAGAGCATTCTGAATGCCAGTGACGAAGCAGGGATGGAGGCATGAGGTTAGCAGTGATGAGCAACATCCTTCCTGATGGTTCTGAAAGCTCCAGGGGGAGAAAACTGTTTGGGGCTAACCGGGGATGGAAGTCAGGAAACCGGGAGGAGAGGGGAGCAAATGGGAGAGGAAGAAGACTCACGAGGACTGGGGGAGACAAACAAAAGTGACGTGTGTTGAGGAAGGGAGAATGACCTGACGGTGTTCTCAGGTAGAAACTGGAAAACTGTTCACCCTGGTCTAGAAAAAAGAAGAGGCCTGGGCTATGACAAAGTCCTAACAGAAGCTCTTTTGGTGTAGGTGAGTGGCTCAGTGCCCTGGGAGGGACCTATCTAATCCCAAACGACCCCACCTCCTTATACATCATTTAAAATGCTTTCTCCCTGAAAGCCAACGAGCCAGCTGTTAAATAAATCTCAAATGAAAAACAAAACAGGATTTGCTTCACAGAGATTTGATTTTCAATTCACAGCTAAATTTGTTGGAACACAGTCATTCCATAGAGAAAAACCACTGTTAACAGTCTGATGCAGTAAATGTGCCAAAAGTAATAGTACAGGAAGTTGCAACTGACATTAACGATGGAATGAACGCCAAGGAAAAAGAAAACAAAGATACATTCAAAGATGATTATGATGCCAGTAGCTAACGCTATTATGTTAAAATGTTTAGTAACTGAGAGAATGGAGCCACAAATAAATGGGCAGGCACGAACTATTAAGAATAGTTCAGCGGTCAGTTATGTCAAGGGCAGTGTTTTACATCTAAAATCACATTTTTGTGCTTTTTCAGGATGTGCAGTCAAGCTGAAGTAATTCTACAATCCTTCATGGTAAGAAACAATTATTCTTACATTTACATGTCTGAAGACATCTCTCTATAATGCCAGCTTTTCAGTTCAATCTCCTTATTCTGTATGCTGACATTTGGAGCTTTCAGCTCAAAAAGAAAAAGAGGGTTTTTTTTTTTTAACATTTATTTATTATTGAGAGACAGAGAGACACAGAGCGTGAGCAGGGGAGGGGTAGAGAGAGGGGGAGACCCAGAATCTGAAGCAGGCTCCAGGCTCTGAGCCGTCACCACAGATCCTGATGTGGGGCTCGAACTCACAAACTGCGAGATCATGACCTGAGCCCGTCGGTCGCTCAACCAACTGAGCCACCCAGGCGCCCCAAGAGTTTTCGTTTTTAATGAGTATTTCTAATGCCCAAAAAGGAATGTAATGATTTTGAGACCCCATGCTCAGCTGTGTATTCGAGGTCAAGTAACACACACTCATGGACAATTAAAGGCAAATTCTTTTACATAAATCTGCTACCTTTGGAATGGCTTTCAAAGTGCACACACACACACACACACACACACACACACACACACACATTAAATGTACACACAAAATTATCTCTTAATAGAATTGTGGAAGCATTGTACACACTTGATTGGCAACCAAATTGGACTTCAAAACAGTTTTATATGTGCTTTTAAAATCATGAATGATGGAAATGATTTATTCAATCAAAAGTTAGTAAGTCCAGGGACCTGGATGGCTCAGTCAGTAAAGCATCTGGTCATGTTCTCGTGGTTCACAGGTTCAAGCCACACATGGAGCCTGATTGGGATTCTCTCTCCCTCTCCCTCTCTCCCTCTCTCTCTGTCCCTGGCCTGTGCACACGTGCTGTCTCTCACTCTCTCTCTCAAAATAAATATTTTTAAAAAGGTAAATCCATTCCAATTTGAAACTATGTCCTGAATGTACACATGTTCTTGAATGTCTTATCTCCTACTAAAGTAACAAAAAAACACATCGATACCATAACAAGTTCTTGGTGGGAAAAGAGGTGACAGGCAGGACAAAGAAGCATTTCTCTTTCTGAGGAGCTAAAAGGAACAGGCATGTTGATCACTGTTAGAAATGACTGGAGGGGCACCTGGCTGGCTCAGTTGGTGGAGCATATGACTCATGACCTCAGGTTGTAAGTTTGAGTCACACATTGGGTGTAGAGATTACTTAAAAATAAAATCTTAAAGGGGTGCCTGGGTGGCTCAGTGGGTTAAGCATCTAGACCTCGGCTCAGGTCATGATCTTGTGGCTTGTGGGTTCAAGTCCCACATAGGGCTCCAGGCTGACAGCTTGGAGCCTGGAGCCTGCTTTGGATTCTGTGTCTCCCTCTCTCTCTGCCCCTCCCCCGGTCACACTCTGTCTCTGTCTCTCTGTCAAAAATAAACATTTTAAAAATAAATAAAAATAAAATCTTAAAAAAAGAAAGAAGTGACAGGAAAGAAGGCCTAGCTGGTTAGTAGAAACCAGGAGGGACAGTTTCTGAGGTTAAATGTGCAATCTTAGTGACTAAAGATAGGAGATGCAAAGAAAGGTTTGAAATCACCCTGTGCACACACGGACAGCAGCGTGACACGGCGTGACCAGCTGAGACCCTCCCGTGCTGACCGTGAGGTGAGGTCGCGTGCAGAAAGGTTTATGTGGACGAGTTTCCAGGGAAAGGCAGGAAGCGCTGGAACCATGTGATCATGAAAGGGAGACCAAGCATAGATTTGCAAGTCAAATAAAGTCCCCTGAATGGTGGCTTGGGTTCCATCCCACAGGACTTGTAGTGAGGGTGCAGGCCACTGTGGTAATGTACGCTACATAACAAATTTCTCAAGCTTAGCAGCCTACAGCAACACCCATTTATTCCAACCTCCCTGAGCACAGATCACAGGCTTGCTCTGTCTTTTCAGACTGTGTTCATGGTCTTTTAGTGTACCTCACGGTTTTTTGTTTAGAGCTGGGCATGATGTCCTCGGTGCGAAGAATCGGGGTAAATAGGCTGTTAGTTGCGGGGGTTGGGGGGAAGCAGGAGGAGATGCATTCTACAGTTTATCCTTAGGTCTGTCTCGTAGTGGTGAGCCGTACCCCTTGGCTGTGAACTTCACAAATGCCTCTCAGGCGTGGGTTCCCTCCCTCCCCCCAGCCTTAGGTGGGAAAGAAAGGTTGTCTGGAGGAGGTTGGAGTTCAGGATTTCATTCCCCCCATGGTAGTTAGGCTCTGGTAACCCCAATCAGTTGGGTGTCAAATTTCTCTTGAGGGCAGGGCTCGTTCAGAACAGAATGCTCTGGCATACTTAAAAATGGCTGCGTTCCTCCCTTTCTCTCCGCAGGAAGCACAAGCAATTTTTCTCCAGTTTTCACAGTGAGAACCTGGTAGAGCTCCAAGAGGTAAAACTCTCGGAAGCATAGGGATCCCTGCAGCTTTTATTTGTTTATTTTGAGAAAAAGAGGGGTGCCTGGGTGGCTCGGTCGGTTAAGCGTCCGACTTCGGCTCAGGTCACGATCTCATGGTCCGTGAGTTCGAGCCCCGCGTCGGGCTCTGTGCTGAGAGCTCAGAGCCTGGAGCCTGTTTCAGATTCTGTGTCTCCCTCTCTCTCTGCTCCTCCCCTGTTCATGCTCTGTCTCTCTCTGTCTCAAAAATAAATAAATGTTAAAAAAAAAATTAAAAAAAAAAAAGAGAGAGAGAGAGAGAGAATCTCAAGCAGGCTCTGCATGGTCAGCACGTAGCCCAATGTGGGGCTTGAACTCACAAACTGCAAGATCACGACCTGAGCCAAAATCAAGAGTTGGACAATTAACAAACTGAGCCACCAGGCACACCGCTCCCCCCTGCCCACCCCCCCGCCCCTGCAGTTTTGACTCACAGACTCTTCTACACTGAGCCTCCAGCAATGTGTCAATTACAGTTCAGGTTTTCCTATCCTGGCGCTGACTTCTGTGGAAGTTTCTGCTAATGGGTTTCGGCTCCAGTGGGTTGTGGGTTCTCTGCATCGGCCCATCTTTTCAATTTCGGGGGCAGCAGGTCGCCCTGTGACCTTGCTTCTCTGAGAAATCTAAGAAGAGTTTCCATTTTGGGGTCTGTCAATGGCTGCAGCTCAGGTGCTGACTGGGCTGGTCTCACCTGAAGGTTTGAGTGGGGCAATATTTGCTTCCAAGCATTTGCTAACATGTTTAATGACAAGTTTTCCTTCTTCATGGGCTGTTGGCCAGAGGTCACCTTCAGTTCCTTGGCACATGGCTCTCTCCACAAGGCAGGCTTCCAGTAAGGCTCCTTGACTCGTCAAAGCCACCAAGAATGACTCACCAAGTGGAAGTCACAAGCTTTTGTAACAGAATCACGGAACTGACATCCCATCACCTTTGCTGGATTCTGTCGGTTAGAAGTGAGTCACGGGTCCTGTTCACACCCAATGGAAGGAACACACAGAGTATGAACACCAGCTGGTTGGGTGTACTGGGGAGGCCATCTTTTTCTTTAAATGTTTATTTTTGAGACAGAGAGAAGGAGGGACGGGCAGAGAGAAATGGGGACAGAGGATCTGTGGCGGGGTCTGCGCTGACAGCAGAGAGCCCGACAAAGAGCTCAAACTCACAAACCATGAGATCATGACCTGAGCCGAAGTCAGACGCTTAACCGACTGAGCCACCAGGTGCCCTGGCGAGGCCATGTTCATGTCTGTCCACCACAGCTACCTCTCAGGGTTGTCTGAAGGTGCAAGAACGCTGGAGCGTCCAACTCTGGTCAGTCACCCAGGAAAGGCTGCCCCTCGGCAGGGCACTTCAAATCCCGGGGTCTCTGAGAGCATTGGCACAGTGAGCTCCTGCCACCTGAGGGCATCCTCCTGCAGGGAGGTGCAAGCTGCCTCCTGCAGCTCCAGGAATATGTTAAGGGGATAGAAGGATAACCACCCTCTCCATCCCCAATTAAACTTGCTTGGTTTGACCCTGTGGGACGGACAGAAATGCTCAGGGTTGGCTCAAGGCTTTAAGAGAGTAAAAAGAGCTGCCGTGGCTTATCTCTTGATGCTGACCCCCTTTCTCTGCCCCGCTGGGGACTCCAGTAGCTCTGCAAAATTCCACACAACGAATGGGTTTTGAACCTAGGCTCAGAGCTCAAAGAGCCTGATTTGTGGTGGTTGTTGGGTTGGGTATTGACCTCGCCTGACAAAACAGGAGTCTTGGCTTCTGAAAGAAACTTGCCTTTCCCCTGAGAAAACCACAGCAAGTCAGACTGAGAAATTGTGTGTGAGAGTACAACTTCAGTTCTGCAACAGGCAGATAATGAGTCTGTGAGGAAAGGAGCGTCAGCCTGAGAAGAGGTGAGACCAGACGGTGCCGTGGAAGGGAGAGGGGTGGGATTTGTGTTCTGAGAAGAGGAAGAAAGTAAAATCACATTAATAATATTGTCTGACCACCTTCCATGAGCGGGCAGCGGTTAAGTACTCAATGTCTTGCTTAACTCTCATCGCAGCCTCGTGGCTCACCTTTTGTGAGGCAGCAGAAGAGCTGTATGTATGTATGAGGCAGCAGAAGAGCTGGGGCAGCTTGTGAAGGTCACGGAGGTGGTGGAGGGGAGGATCAAACCCAGGCAGATTACACCATAAACACTGCCTCCAGAGGGGACCCGGAGATTCATTTCCTGTCACCATGGATGTCAATGAACGGGTCGGACCATAGAAACGCACCTTCTCAATACACCACCTTGAGACAACAAGGAGCCCGCTTTTGAGAAGTTGGAGGGGGGTCGCAGGTGGCCCGATTTGAGGTCACGTGACCATAACTGCACTTTCAAGGAAGTATATGGGGGGATGGGGAGGTGGGGGGTCAGGACGCTCCTGTATATATACATGTTACAGATTTCAAACTTCGTTCAGATTTTATGTTTCTTTTATAGCACATTACACTAATATAGTGAGATGAGAGGACTGTGATTTCTGGGAGGATTAAACACTCTGCAGTTTTCACCCACGTGACTCAAACCTCACGTATCTAACAAAGGGGACAAAGTAGGCTCAGACTTTCGCTAATTTTGAAATGACTGCTTCGCTGGTACTCAAGTGGCCCTGAGCAGGGAATAGGAAACCCACATTAACCCCAGTGGTTTGGCTTGCGGTTAGAAACACAGCGTGTTGGGAGATAATACAACCTTAGGTCAACATGGTTGTACACACTGCAGAAACATTTGTCTGACACACGGGCTAGAGCATACATCTCAGTATCAGGATTGAAAGGCATCACTATAGAAAATGTGGGGGTGCCTGGGTGGCTCGGTCGGTTGAGCATCCAACTTCAGCTCAGGTCATGATCTCACGGTTTGTGGGTTCGAGCCCCACGTCAGGCTCTGAGCTGTTAGCACAGAGCCTGGAGCCTGCTTTGGATTCTGTGCCTCCCTCTCTCTTCCCCTCCCCCACTCACAGTGTGTCTCTCTCTGTCTCTCAAAAATGAATAAACGTTAAGAAAAAAAAATTAAAAAAAGAAAATGTGGGTAATCGTTCCTCTGAGGGAGTCTGATAATATAAATGCAATGGCTCTTCCCCTCTCCCACTCCCGCCAAGTTTTCCGGGTCTCGGTGCACTGCCCTTGGTTGAACCTTCAGAGTAAGCCATGTGTATAACCTGAGTTTCTTAAACTTGTGACATTTCTTTAGTCTGTCACGGGTGTCACAAAATGTACTCTTAAGGGGCCAAACAGTATGTATTTTTGCCTTTGCAAGCTACTCGTTTCTCTCAATTACTGTTTCTCTCAATGTGCTTAAGTTGACTTAATCAATGGTGTGATTCAGGGCATCTTAATTTGGTCTTAAGGATAGCCTGTCCAGTTACAAACTTGGTGGCGACCACGGAACGAACCAATGTGATTTCCCACAGAACACCTTTGCACTGTAAAACCTAAGTTGTTAAACGAGCTAATCAGAAAGGGAAACTTTCCCTAAAACTTTACAGTGAGAAACCTGATAGCCACCTCCTTATCCACGTATTAAGGTGACAGTCACAAGTGACAAGCCATGGAGATGTCAGGTGTTCCCTGATGGGGTGTGCCGAGATGGCCACAACATCAATGTGTGTGTTTTCCCCCAAATCCATAACCTAGTCTTTAGAAAACGCCAGACAAGCCTAAATTGGGGGACATTCTACAAAACACCTGACCAGTCCTCCTCATGGGATGCCTGGGTGGCTCAGTCAGTTAAGCGTCTGACTCTTGGTTTTAGCTCAGGTCATGATCTTACGGTTCATGGGTTCGAGCCCTATGTCGGGCTCTCCACTGACAGTGCAGAGCCTGCTTGAGATTCTCTCTCCCTCTCTCTGTCCTTCCCTTGCTCTCCCTGGCACTTATGCTCTCTCTCAAATAAACTTCAAAAAAGAAAATTCTCCAGGTCATCAAAACAAAGGATGGGAGACCAAAGAGACGACGACACGCAGTGTTGGGTCCCGGGGACAGAAAGACACTAGGGTACAGACTGGGGAAATCCAACTAGAAGTTCATGACGAGGAATGTACTAGGTGAGGGTATACAAGTCCTTCCTATGTTATCTTTGCAAGTCCTCTGTAAATCCAAAATGGTTCCAACAGATGAATTTATTATTTTTAAAAAACTTTTAATGTTTATTTATTTTTGAGAATGAGTGCAAGCATGAGCTGGGGAAGGGCAGAGAGAGAAACACACACACAGAATCCAAAGCAGGCCCCAGGCTCTGAGCTGTCAGCACAGACCCCGACGCAGGGCTTGAACCCACAAACTGTGAGATCACGACCTGAGCCAGAGTCAGACGGTTCACCGACTGAGCCGCCAGGCACCCCTCCAACAGAAGAATTAATTTTTAAAGAAGTTAATCTCACACAATATTTCCTGTGGCCCTTCCACACGTATAATTATGCAAAAGTAAGGAATGATTAATTTTTTAGAGACTTCCTATCCCTGCCTGGAAGAAATCGGTCCATTGTAGTAAAAATTCTACCACCCTTCAGACGGCCGTCCTCAGTTACTTCCTGTTATTTCTACGACTGGCCAAATACTTCTACATTCCTTGAAGTTCAGAAGAAAAGAGTCAATTGAAACAAGTATTTTGGCCAGTGGCCAGCAAAGGAATTTCCCGCATCCGAATCAACAGTTCCTCCAGCTTTCCAGGGCCCCTCCTTCCCACACGGCACCCGAATTATTTCGGCTCTAAGGAAGTACAGATG